AAAAAAAAAAGATTAATCATTGGATATCTATTCCTTGTCAACCTCACGACCAATCACATCTCACCAAAACCAGACTGTAACGAAATCATAATTCAACCCACTATGATATAACAATCCTGCTTACAACTGAAAATACTCTAATTTCTTTCCCAACATCTCAGCCCTCTAGCATTGCCCACATGTCCAAGCCCAAAGCCTGCTCTGAGACACAAGGCAAGCTTTTAGCTGTGAATCCCTAGGTCTCGACTTTTTTTTTCCTCTGTATTTGGGACAGGGCCTACAGGGTCTACAGAGTCTCACTATATAGATCAGACTTGTAGTGATTCTCCTGTTTTCAGCCTCCCAAGTGCTGGGGTTATAGCCACATGCCACCACGCCCAGTCTCAATTGCCGGGATTACAGCCGCATGCCACCACGCCCAGTCTCAATTGCCTCTCAGCTTGCCCTGGGGCAGGGCATGGTAGGGATTGAACCCCGGCCACTGCGCACTGCCTAAGCAGGCGCTTTAGTCTGCTGAGCTATCTGACTGGCCCAACAGGATTCTTACCCCCCCCCATCTTGACTCTTAATCAGGGGTAGATATTTAGTATTTGAGTTGTTTTTACCACTGTGCGTGTATGTTTGTGTGTGTTTGTGTGTGTGTGTGTGTGTGTGTGATCAAACCCAGACCTTTTGCACTAAGCTACATCCCCAACCCTTTTATTTATGGTTTTTTGTTTGTTTGTTTGTTTGTTTTTTTGTTTGTTTTTTGCAGATCCAGAGATTGAACAGGGGCCCTTACACTTGCTAGGCAAGCGCTTATTCTACTGTGCTATCTCCCCGGACCCTCTCAGCCCTTTTAAACTTTTTTATTTTGAGACAGGATCTCACTAAGTCATTAACTTCCCCAGGTGGGACTTGAACTTACAGTCTTCCTGCCTCAGCCTCCCAGAGTACTGGGATTAGCATGCACTTCCATACCTGGCTCACAAATCTTTAATTTTTTTAACCAGATCATATTTGATAGCTGCTTCTTCTTTTTTAATGTATTTGATACAAGGTCTCATTACGCAGCTCAGACTCATAGTGATCCGCCTGTCTCGGCCTCCCCAGTGCTGGGATTACAGGCGTGCACCACCACGCCCAGTCTCATAGCTTCTTTTGATTTGGAGAAAAATCAGCTTCCTGGGCAACATGAGGGCTCATCCTTTCCCCTCCAAGGATCCTTGTCTCGAGTCTGCTTGAACCTGGCTCTCTTGTCCTTCCGAAGCCAGCAGCCCCTTCTTCTGGCTGCTGTGTCACCAGGTGAGGAGGTTACCGCAGATTCCAAGTGCCAGGTGCTGAGTCTTGAGTCTGAAGCTTCCAGGAGCATGCTGTCCTCTGAAGATGTCACGAAAGTTCATCTTAACGTTCAAGGGGCGTTAGCAGCTGGAGATGGCTCAGTAGAATAAGTGCTTGCCTGGCAAGCACAAGAGTCTGAGTCCAATCCCCAATTCCGCCAAAAAAAAAAAAAAAAAAAAAAAAAGCTCTTGTTGTTACGGTGACGTGGTGCCGTGCTTTGACCACCTCATTGGGGCCTCTGAAGGCCGAGTTCCCTCAGTGCCACATGTCCTCTGGGAAAGCCACTACCACTTCCTATGTCCCTGCACCCCTCAGTGGACCCGAGGCTGGTGGCTGCCCACATCAAGTCCTGAGCTTGTCTTGGGGTCCTATCCAGTTGTTGCCACCACCCCAGCTGTCTCTGTGGGAAATCCCAGGTGGCCGGGACCAGGGCAGCCCTGGGCTCTGTTGCTCACTTCCATCCAGCACCCCATGCCTGTCTTGGGTTTAAGCCCCCCTCTCTCCCCACCTGCTACAAAGTCTGCACTCGCCTGCTTGGAGCAAGTCCCAGCGAGCGATCTCATGGTAAAATCCCTCAAGCCGCTCCCAGCGGTCCTTGGCCTCTGCCAACATTGATTTGGTTCAAAGCTGCCCTGACCGACTTCCTCTGGACAGCAACTCACTCCTTCCTGAGGGTCCATTTCTCACTGGACAGCCGCCACCGCCGGCCACCGAGGTGTCCCTTTCCTCCTGGAAGGATGTCAGGGGCCAGGGTCGAATCAGGTGTTGAGGCTTGGTTTCCTGTGCCCCAGAGAGATGCCAGGGTGGGAGAAATGTGGAGCTCAGTGGGCAGAGCTTACCCGTGTGTCTGGCACTGCCACCATGAGGCCAGACAGGAGGTTTCTGGATTTTGTCTGGGACCCTTGACCATGCGTCCCCAAGGGTTCCTTTAACAAACATGCATAAATGCATAGTGCAGCTGGCAAGAGGATGGTGTCCAGCTCACAGCTCTGATGAGTAAACTGAGGCATGGGTGCCAGGGGTTTGTGCAGAGCTGCCCAAACACTGCAGAGACGGAGCAGGCTGAGGAACCCCACCCCAGACCAGCCTCATGACCCGAGCTTGGGCCGCCAGCTTCTTTCATGTGCTGGGCCTCAGTTTTTTCATCTTTAAAATGGGGACAGTTGTGGCTCGAGGTTGGGGAGGGTGAAACACAGGGACCACACACACTATCTAGCCCCAGGTGGGTGGCCTATTCCTCAGGAACCTCCAGTCTGCCTCCTTGAGTCCACTGGGCCTGGGTCTGGGCCTAGTGCTGAGTTCAGGGTGGGGACATGCTGCACAGCTGAGCAGGGACAGCACTGACCCACAGTGAGGGTGTGTGACCTGCTGGTGACCTCAGAGCACAGTGCATGGAGCTGTAGGGGAGCCACAGGCAGATAGTTTGCTGCCTGGTCGGGGAAGACCTTGTCCTTCAACATTGCTGTTATTACTGTTGCTGTTTAGCGACCAGCCATGGCCTGCAGGGAGGTTGCGGGTACAGACAGCAGGGAGGGCAGTGGGCCTGCGGGGGAAGGACCATGCCATCGGTGGTACAGAGCGCAGGCGCCCGGGCAGGAGGACCGCGGTCCCAGGGTCCTAGCTGAGTGAGACAACTCTTCTTCCTGTCACCATCCAGTGGACCAAGAGCCAGGGCTCTGTTTTCAGACAGGGCAAGTCAGCTGCCTAGTGTTAAGCCTCTGGTATTTAAAGCCAGAGTCCTGTACAAAACATTTTCAGTAACTTCTCTGCACTGCAGTACTTTTCTCAAAGCTTTCGCTCAGTCTCTTCGAGTAGAGCCTACTAACTCAGTATGCACAGAGTGTTTTCAAAGCAAAAGTCCCATTTAGGGGAGCGGTCCTCTATCACCTATCTTAGCTTAGGCCAAAAAAGGGTTTCATTGGAGGGGTGCAGTCATATACAGCGGGGGTCGTGTGTGCAGTCCTGGGGGCCTGGGGTTTGTCACCACTCAGCACTGTCTTCCACTTTGACATCTTGTTCCCTTTCTAAAATTTTTATTTTTTCTATTTCAAACTGAGATCATCTTAAGGCATAGGGTTGCCCAGGCTGGCCTCCAACGTGACCTTCCTGCCTCAGCCTCCCAGAGTGCTGGGATTACAGGCAAGCACCTGGCCACCTGGCACCCGAGTGCTTCTCCAGGGGCTCAGAGCACTGGGTCCCTCGGGAGGGGAGCCCCCATGCCGTGCCCAGGACACACTGCAGAATGAAAGGGGGGAGTTCCCCATTTGTCCAGCTGCCCTTCCCCCAGCCCCTGCTGCCCGCTGTGCCTGTGGCCCCATTTTTTTTTCCGTTGTTGTTGCTTGCACACTCCTGACCCGGGGCCGCATGCATCCCCTGGGGAGCCCACGTAGCCTGCCCACTTCCGTGCTGTCAGTCCCCAGGAAGCCCCCAGATTCGCTGGCATCCACATAGGGGCCCACAAGGCTGTCTGGAAGTAGGAGGGACTCTGCTGTCCCTCTGTGTCCAGGCACCCCCACTCCCGCCCCATCACTGGGGGCCTTTGCCTGGCTCTGGGCCCCATCTGCCAGGGGAACCAAGTCATAGCTTTTCTGTCTGTCATTTTGAGCAGCGTAGCTGGGATGGAGCTGCAGCTGGCATGTGGCCTTCCGGCTGGCAGTGCCACTCAGGGTGTGCCCAGAAGGGGATTGCAGCAGTGCCCTGCTTTGCACACACAGTGCCACCCATGGTGCACGAGTGACCACATCTGGTGGGTGTGTGCGAGAGAGGGACCGCTGAAAGCCGGCCGTGGAGGTGAACAGCTGTAATCCCAGCACCCCGGAGGCTGCGGGGGGAAGATCGCAAGTTGAAGGCCAGCCTAGGCAAGTAGGAAGTTCAAACCCAGCTTGGAGACTTGGAAGAGAGAGCTTGTCTAAAAAAAAACAACAACAACAACAGAATGGATGGATTTCTGAGTCTTGGTATACAGCTCTTTTAAAGTTAGATTTCAAAATAAATAAATAAAAGATAAAGTTAGATTTCAGTGTTGACACTGGCAGCTTGCGTGTCATCTGCAGGAGAGAAATTAGAACTCTGGGGGTTCCCTGGAAGGGCACTTCCCGTATCTCTTTGGTGAAGTGCACCCCTGAGCTGTGAGTGCTTCTCCCTCAGGACCTCAGGAAGGACCGTCATGCCAGGTCCCAAGCTGGTGGCGGCCTCAGGACAATCCAGCCCGGCTGTCCCTCCAGTTAGGAGAGCACATCAGGGCTGGACCCTGATGACCAGGCTTACAGATAATGCTGTGTGCTGTGCACCTACTACATATATATATATTTGAAACAAGGTCTGTCTATGTACTTCAGGCTAACCATGAACTCACAATGTAGCCCAGGCTGGCCTCAAATTTGTGGCGATCCTCCTGTCTCAGCCTCTTGAGTCCTGGGATTACAGACCACCACGCTCCCGGTTGTTTCGATGATCTGATCTTATGGCCCCAAACCATGCTCAGGGAAGTCTCCTTGTCAGCCTTCCCCAGCTCCTGTCCCCACCCGCCTCCTGAGGGGACACTTTATCTTCCCAGAAATTCCCCAGGGCAACTGGCGTGTGTGCATGTACATGTGTGTAATGGAATGTGTGTGCGTGTAGATGTGTGTGTGTCTTGTGTGTACTCTGGGGTTGCTAAAGGCCTCGGTGAGTCACACCCGCACTTACTGCTTGCAGTCACCCGGAAGATGATAGCTGTGTGACTCCCTTTGACAGGCAGGGAAACTGAGGTTCCAAGGGAGAGGGAAGGTAAGGGCGACGTGGTGGGCGTGTGCCTTTCTTGGGGTGCGCAGGAAGCTGCAGCTCCTGGTGGCCCTGCTGGGCATCTGGGCGGTCGTGCGGGTGCAGCGGGTGCAGGGCTGGGCCAGGAGCTTCGAGTCCCCGCAGTGCGGACCTCTCCCAGTCCTCATCTGGCTTCAGCACCCGGCGGCTGTGCAACAGCGGGGTCCCAGCTGGGGCTGTTTCTTGGTTCCGATGCTGGGTCCAGCCTCGCTCTTTCTCTTTTCAGTTGTGCTGCCGCAATTTTTCTTTTCTTTTAATTTTGGTGAAATCCACATGACATGAAATTGACTTCTTTCTTTCTTTCATCCTTTTTCTTTCGGTACTGGGAATTGAACCCAGAGCCTCCACACTGAGCTACTTCCCCAGCCCTTTTTATTTCTTCTTCTGAGACGGGGTCTTTCGAAGTAGCTGAGGTTCCCACCCTGGGCTGGAGCTCACGATCCTCCTGCCTCAGCCTCCCAGAATGCTGTGCACCACCCTGCCCAGCTGAAACGAACCGTTTTAAAGTACGTGATCCGGTGGCCTTTCGTCCACTGAGCATGGCTCTCTGCCTCTGTTGGGCTCCAGAGCGTGCTTGTCGCCCTCGCAGGAAATCCTGCACCTAGAGCACCTGCTTCTCCGACCTCCCCTCCCCCAGTCCTGCCTCCCCCGCCAGCCTGCCTGGACTTGCCTATTCTGCATGCCTCTGGTCCATGAGACTGCAGGGGGAGTGGCCATGCCGGGTGGACCCCTCACCCCCGGCCTCAGGGGGCTCCGCGGGAGAGACGCACAGATGTGCGGGGCGCATGTGCGAGGCCGGGAGTGTCTGGCTTCTTCGCGTCCTATGAGAGCAGGTGCCCCAATTCTGCTCGCCTGCAGCTCAGAGACAGTCCACGGCGCGCGCGGGGCATCCCGCCAACCTGTCCCCCGCTTATGCCCGTGGGGCCGTTTCCCTTTCGTGGCTGCAGTGGACCGCTCGGTGCCGCGCATGCTCACACCTGTACTTGTTGGTTGGAGCTGCGCTTTCAGCTTTCCTGGGCACAAACCCAGGACAGGAGCAGAGGCTCGCTTAGCTCCCGGGTGGGGGAAGTCCGAGGGCCCTGTGCTGACACCTGCCGATCCCCTCCAAGTAGCTGGCACCATTTGGGGCCTGTTTTTAGTGCGCGAATCCAGGCCCCCTTCCGGCCATGGCCCTGGGCGTGCGGAGACGTGCATCAGCGCCCACACGCTGCACGAGCCAGGTGTCCCACGGTGGTGACACTGGCCTCTGCAGGGGTGCCACAGGCCGTGGTGGACCTCAAGACGAGGTCTTTGTGGAACCGGGGATTGAACTCAGGACCTTGTGCTTGCCGCCAGGCTGCCCGCCCCCTCCTCCTCCCGGACTTCCTCCTCCACCCTGCTGTGACCTCCCAGGGCTCCTGGGTAGAGCTCAAGTCTCACCACAGCGCCTGGGGCTCAGGAGCAACCACAGACTTGGTAGTCCCATGCAGAAGGAAGTCACTCTTTCCAGACCTGTGCAGGCCCGAGTTCAAAATTGAGACCTGGGCAATGCTCCCACCAAAGGCTGCAGGAAAAGGTCGGCCTCTGCCGGCGCCTGAAGCTCCTGGCATCCTTGGGTTGTGGTCACATCTCGCCCCTTCTCACCCAGCAGGGTCCTTAGTATCTGTCTTCCCCCATCCTCCTGGGCTTCGATGCCCGTGCCAGTGTCTGTCAAGGCGGCCTGGATCAGGATCTGCCAGTTAGCAGTGTGGCCTCGGGTGAGTCACTCCTGGCCATGAGGACAGAACTAGGTCTCCCCTTGCTCCCACAGGGTGACACCTGCACACAGTGGGTGCGCAGTCTGAATGTGCGTTGGGCGCAGCCCTGAGGTGAGCGCCGAGCGGGCTTGCAGCAGAGCCTGGGTGACTGTTTGTGAAGCCTGGGAGGGCTGTGCCTTTCCCGAGAGCACATGGAGCTGCTCTGACACCCATGTCTTCCACAGAACTGCAGAGACCACAGGAGGAAGCAGCCGCTGGGTACAGCGAGAAGAACCCCAGTGGTGGCCATGGTTGACGCGGACCCCACGCTGAGCACGAGTCACTCATTCTACGACGTAGCCAGGCATGGCATCCTGCAGGTGGCAGGTAGGTCCCCAGCTGCATGGTCCCTGAGTGTGTGTGTGTGTGTGTGTGTGTGTGTGTGTAGAGTAGGGGGGAACCAGGGGACTGTGCCCCAGGATGACAGCATGTAGGGGACCAGGGTATCTGTCTGAGGGAGCAAGGACATGCTTGTCACCACACTGCTGGGCTGTCTGAGAAGCCTAGGGTGGGAACACCCCAGGTAAATGCTGTTAACAAGGGCCCTGCACTACGGCTTCACATCCAGGGCAGTGCATGTCTGCGACACTTAGGAGACTGACCTGTAATGTAGCCCATCTACTGCAGGCAGTGGCCTTACCTCGGCCTTTAGGTCCCTGGACCAGGCGTCTCACCATTGGTGGTCACCTCCAAGGAGCTGGCGTCCTGTAGGGGCGACGGACAGACACAAAGGGGCACAGTTCTCCATCTGTTGCAGCCCCCAGGAACACACAGTCAGTATGCCCCGGGTACAGGGGAGGGGCCTGGGGACTAAACTTTTGAGGCTCAGGGAGTGAGGGTGCTGGGCTGGATGTGGGGGACACAGGTACACTGTTCAGGAACCAACTGAAGGGAAAGAGTTCTTTTTTTTTTTTTTTTTGCGGAACTGGGGATTGAACTCAGGCCCGTGCACTTGCCAGGGAAGGGCCTATTCCACTGAGCCATCTCCCTGGCCCCAGGAAAGAGTTCTTTATGCAAGAAACTGAAAGTATGTTAATTATGCTAATTTTCATTTAAATATTTGAACAGATATTATGTGTTGGGTTTCTAATACAGTAAATATCTGCCGCCCTAGCCCACATGTTCTTAAGTCTCTTTGATGCTGGTGATAATAACCACAGTGACAGCACAGTGGGAAAGGCTCAGTGGTAGCCATGTTTCTCTCCCAGGCCTCAGGCCGAGGTCCGGTCCAGGCTGTCCAATCAAAACTCTGCTTGAGTTCTTCCGGGAAGAACCAAAGACACCATTCTCTGATTGGCCCCAGGCTTTGGGCTTTGGGAGCTATGTTTCTTGGATTCCTGTTAGTGACAGGTCACACGCACTGGCTCAGCCAGTTTTGCCACCCCCTAATCTGCTTTATTTCTCTCCAAGACGTAAATCCCCACAATTAGAAAAAAAACCTAAGGGGTCAGGGAGATGGCTCAGTAGAATAAGTGCTTACCTGGCAAGCACAAGGGCCTGAGTTCAATCCCCAGTTCTGCCAAAAAAAAAATCTTTTCGGGGTGCTGAGGGGGTGACGGTCTCCATCTTCATGTGGGGATGTGGGCCTGTGCACCAGAGACTAAGTTCTCTCTAACTACCTGAAGAAATAAAAAGCTCCTGGCCGGCTTTGCCAAAATAGGTCACCACATTCTGGCGTGCTGGGGACTCCTTCTAGAGATGCATTTTAGGTCCTTGTCCTCCTGAACAAAGAGTTAGGCAGCACAAGTGCAAAAGGTAGCATGGTTTTTACAATTATTAAAGATAGGAAAAGAAACAGGATCTGCAGAGTGTGAATTTTTATTTTTTATGTCTTGGGGTGTTTTGCTTTTTAGCCGGGGTCTTGCTGTGTAGCCCAGGCTGGCCCTGAACTTGCCCCGGGCCTCCTGCCTCAGCCTCTGAGCGCTGCTGTGCGCCGCCGCGCCTGGCTGAATTATCGGTCTGCGTTTGCAGTACGTGATGTTTATAGTCCCTTGGCGAGTGGACAGAACACTCTCGGTTCTTCTCATGCTATTCCTAGCCTCACCTGCTTCCTCCAACTCTTGTTTCCCCTCATTTCCAGAAGATCTAGTTCCGATTCTTCCAGTTCGCTTTTTAAATCCCTTTTCTCTTGCTCTCCTTCCCACTTGAAAAAAGATGTCCCTACTTCCTGTTCTTTTTTGCATCTTTTATTTCACTCTTGTGTTTCGGGCTTCTTATAGAAGAGAAAAAACACGCAATTTTGAAGCTCGCAAGTCTGCTGTATTTCACTTCCGGAGGTGCGTCCTATTCCTAGAGGCTCGCGTTGGGCCTTCCCCATTGGCAGAGCCGTCCCCGCCACGCGGGAACGCGGCACCCTCTGTCCCATGCGTCTGAGGGCGGACGTACAGGCTCCTTCCAGGACTTAGCCGCCGCGAGCTGCGCTGCCGTGCATGGTGACTGCGTGGGTCACTGCAATATGGTGAATAACTCTTTCACGAAGATCCCTAGAAGAGAATGGCTGGGAATGGAGTGGAATTTTTAGTTTTT